CCACAAAGAGGACGATGACGCCTGTCCGGCAAAAAAAACGCCGGCAGGGAAGGACAAGGGGCCCCAAGACCCACAGCCTGACGGTCGTAGGCCAGGGTCAGAAAAGGAAAAGGGGACAGAGAAAAGCATCCCCTCAACTGAGGATCAAAACGCCGGGAAATGAAAGGAAAAAGCCTCGGGAGGGGATGGGGATGCGGAGAAGGAAAGGGCGGATGGGAACGGCTCCCGCCCTGATGAAGAAATGAAGGACGTGGGGGAAGAGGAAAAAGGCAAGGATGGGGACCCAGGACCGTCCAGGGTGGACAAAGAGATAACATGACAGGTAGGGAAGGGTGATGGATCTAAGTCTCCAATCCCATACAAGGGCGCCCTCCTCTCCTCACAAGTCAAAGCGAAGAGCAAGAAGAAACCCAAGACAGGAAAGAGGAAGGAACTAAGGACAATACCAACAAAGGAGTGGAGATTGAACTTGAAACCTCCACAGCAAAAGAAAGGCCCTGGGAAACAGTCAGATAAAAGGGAAGAGGGGTCAGGGATGAGGTCTTCCGAAGAGCAGAACGGGACAAAGGGAAAGGACACGACCGAGTAGGAGGAGGGAAGAAACGAATTGGGGCAGGACGAGTCACAAGGACTACTGCTGGAAAAGATGACAACGAAAGGGTCTTCCCCTTCCCCCAGGCCGATCACCCAGTCCCCATCTGCATCTGAGGGCCAGCCATCTGGTCCAGAGCCTGGTCCAGAGCCTGGCCCGGAGCCTGGTCCAGAGCCTGGTCCAGAACCTGGTCCAGAGCCTGGTCCAGAACCTGGTCCAGAACCTGGTCTAGAACCTGGGCCAGGCTTTGGCTCTGGTTCTAAGCACTCACCGGCGGACACAAAATTGTTCGAAGCAACAGACGAAGCAGTGGAAACACTTGCTCATCTCCTCACAGGAAAGACGCCCCACCCTTCAGTCTATAACAATATTTTATTTGAGGAAGCACAGTCTGACAGGGAGCGGTAACAGAAGGAGGGTTTCCGAAGTCCCTAGAGAGTAGGATTAAAGAAAAGGTTCAGCTTACCTCAGAGGAGGAGTCTGAAATCTCAGACAGGGACGAGGACGAAAGCTTCGAGGAGGAACAGGAACATGATTTTTTTTCCCCGACGGAAGGTATGTTCAAAACGCCCGAAGGAGAGGAGGTTCCAAAGGTAATACAACAACCACAGGATGAAAGGAGGGGATTTCCCCAGCCATTCATCTTCTCCTCTCCAGTACCGAAGACTCCCACGGTTGTTCCAGCGAAAGGATAGCTGGTTCTGGGTAACTTTGAACCACTTTCGTCAGCAAAAAAAACAAGAGTAGAAGGGACAACCAGGCAAGTCCTATAGAGAGAAGGCAAGGTGAGCGGAGGTTCGGAAGACATAGTATGGAGCTCTCCCAAACCTCCCGCCCAGCCCGTCGTTCTTTGGCCCTGGCAGGACCCATGCGCACATTATCCCGAAGAGATAAGGTAAAAGGCATGGTCCCAGACTACCTTGTTCCCATTGTATGCTCTCACGATGGTCACAAACCGAGATTTATGACGATTATGAGCAGGGATGAATCCCTGCTCTTACCATCTATCCAGCTACGTAGCTCCCCCTCCCAATTATGATTAGTAACTTGATTAAAATTCATGTCGTTCAAAGTTTGAGTGAGGTGGGACTGCTCCCCGAACCAAAAGCAGCGCGTCACTTGGTGGATACACCCGAAGGGGGCAAAGCACGGCTCATGTTTGTGTTCGCATACCTGTCACACATAATGGACAATAAAGCAAAATGGGACGACTTGAAAATTTACTGGGTAGAGCTATCCAATTTGGCCTCTCCCCAGTCGGACACAACTCAGGCCATAAGGCTGCTGTCTACAATGACAGCCCAAACGGTAGTTGAGTGGGTCTCCCAGACAGATAACAGATCAACATTGCTTTCGGAAGCTTTCGCTGAGACACTCCACAAAAGAAGGACAGGGAAAAACCTGAACTTCTTTGTGGGCGAGATGTTTTCTTCGGAGCCTCCGACAACAGAAGAAGGTAACACCAGCCGCATCCAAACCCCGAGCGGTCCAGCAAGCAAGGATGGTTCTACCCAGTAGAATTAGACTTGCAAGCTGGAACGTTCGAGGTTTAGGAGACACAAATGATACATATAAAATACAGCGGTTGGCTTCCCGGATTCACTCACAACACATTCAGGTCACATGTCTGCAGGAAACCAAGATTGGGCCGGACAAGATGGGAGAAATAGCAAACTGGTGGGGGGGGCCACAAATATGGTCCCCCGCGGTAGGAACTCGAGGGGGGTTAGCCATCTTGGTGGAAAAAAACCTAGACATTGGCATAATTGACTCTTGTGCGGACACAGAGGGTCGTTGGGCCTGGATTAAAATGGCAGTTGCAGATGAAGACTGGGCCGTGGTTTCGGTTAATGCACCGGTCGAATACACAACGAGGCTAAATTTCTTTGCAGACTTACCAAAAATAATTCCTGACACTGGGAACCTTTTAATGTTTGGGTACTGGAACTACATCATGAATCCTGGTCTGGACTCCCCAAACCTTTTCCCAGTACGGGAAGATGCCTTGCTGTTAAGCTCGTTTATGGAATCACAGAACTTGTCCGATGTCTACAGAACAATGAATCCAGAGGCACATGGATTTACGTGGAGAGGCTCACGCCCATCAGCAAGAGCCCCAATACCTAAGAGAGGCCTGGACTTGATTTTGGCCAGGGGAGAACCCTGGGACCGTTGTATGTGGGAAGGAGTACGGGTGTTTTCACTATCCGACCACTACCCTGTACTGATGGACGTCTTATCCAAAGAGACGGTGGAACGACACAGACCACCTTCCAGACTTAATGTATCTATTCTGAAGGATCCTGGGATAACTTATTGGATAGATAGACAGATGAAAGAATGACATTCTGCTAAGGACCTATTTGACAACCCAGAAACCTGGGTAGATATGGGAATTGGCATTCTGCAGTCTGCTATGATTGAGTTCTCCAGGATGAAAGTTGCAGCACGTAATTCGAGAGAAACGCAGGTAATCAGAGAATCTGATATAGAATAGGCAGACTCCTATGATGGATCGGACCCTTTTCTTGAGTATTATTGGTCACAAAAGAGGTCCAAAGCCCTGAAGGAACAAGAGGAGTTGGAAATCCAACAATAGGCTACATAGCAGGAGTGACTAAAAGTCAAGGGGTTACTGGCTCATGATCGCATGACCAAAGCTACCTTCAAAGCATTGATTCGGCAGCAAGCTAAACCTCTAATGAGGGAGCTCACTCACCCCTTTGCATTAAACGCTCCCCTGGCCTCAGAGACCGCAGACCTATGCACATATGCACTTGAATATTTTAGAGACATTGTCTCTACTAGAAGGCCTTATGACTCATTCGACACTAACTTGGCATACTTCCACCAGTTTTGGGATTGTACAACTAGGCAGGTATCTCCAAGCCAGAGCCAGATCCTAGATGAGCCTATCACGGTGGAGGAAGTCACGCGAGCGGCGAGGCAGATGGCCAAGGGCAAGTGTCCGGGCCCGGACGGTCTCCCAATTGAATTTTTTCTTTCAGCCTGGGACTCCTTCGCTCGCTTCTTGACATATATAATGAGACGCTAAGGACGGGCACCTTACCAAGAGGAATGCTAAAAGGCATGATATCTCCACTGTACAAAAAAGGGGATAAACAGAAAATACGAAATTGGCGCCCCATATCGGTCTTGAACGTGTCCTATAAATTATTAGCAAAGATCCTTGCCCTTAGACTGATTGAAATCCTTCCGGAAGTGGTCGGAAGCTATGTTGCACGCCCGGCTGCGGCCGGGGGGTCCAAATCGGCCGTGGCCTAGGCCGATGACCGAATCGGCCCGGTTCGGCCTAGGCCAACCAGCCGAGTTTGGTACTTGAATTTTTTTCCCCATTTTTCACGTGTAGAAAAAATAAATAAAAATATGGGCGTGTAGAGCTGAAAAAGCCGTACACGCCCATATTTGTTTTTTGGGTGTCGGACCTTCCGCGCGGCAGAGGAAAAAAAAACGCAACCAAAAAAAAAAAAAAAAAAAAAAAAACCGTTGGGCCGTTTTGGCCCTGTTTTGGTGTCAGCGGGTAAGGGGCACCGTGTGGGCAGTGTGAGGAGGGCGGTGGGTCCAGGCCCAGGCCACGGCAAAACTGTTGCCGTTTCAGATAAATGCTGCCATTTATCTGAAACGGTAACAGTTATTGCTGTTGCCACTGTTATGCTGCCAAACTGCCTGCTTGCACGCTGAGTGAGAGAGAGAGAGAGAGAGAGAGAGAGAGAAAGAAAAAGAGAGAGAGAAAGATCTTCTTCTTCTTCTTCTTCTTTTTCTTCTTCTTTTTCTTCTTCTTTTTCTTCTTCTTCCTCCTCCTATGCTGCGCGGGTGGCTGCGGCGTGCGCCGCGCGATCTCGCGGGACAGCGCGCCGCCATTGGCCATCGTCGGCCCGACAGCCGTCGCCATCGCCGCGCGCGGCCTTTTTCCGCACGGCAGCCGTTTTAGTGCCCAGCCGCGGCCGAACACGGCCGAAAGAGGCCGAAACCGGCCGATCGAGGCCGAACACGGCCGTTGCAGCTCGCGGCTGTGCGGGGGGCCGACCGGCCTGGGGCCGCGGAGAGGACGGGCATCGACGACATCAGGGGGACGCGGCAGTGGTGGCAGCGGGGACGTCAGGGACTGCGTCGACGGTAGGGCACGGTCCGACGACATCGACGATCATCGCGACGGCTTGTTGGATTCGAGTGGGGGGACGATGACAGGGGGTGCAGGGATCAGCGGTGCGGGGGGGTCTGGGGGTGCACAGTTCATCCCGATGTCCGAGAGGGAGATGGCGAAGTTGAGGCGGGGGAACTTGGTTTGGAGCTTTGTCACCGCAAGCAGTACGTCGGGGACCAGTCAAAGATGTATGGGAACCGAAAGTTGTGTTGCAACTTATGCGGCCACTTGTTTCAGGGGTGGTCGTCGAAGGCCGCACGCCATTTCACGCAGTCGAAGTACTGCAAGGCTAGGGGGATGAGAGTTCTCGCGGAACTTTGGAACGGCGCGGACTACACATTCGTGCCGTCCACTGCTCAGCGGGTGCAGAGGTGGATGGCGGACGAGGGGATACGGGATACAAGAGCGCCCGCGGGTGGCCAGCGACAACGGATGGACGACGCAAAGAGGGACGAGATTCAAAACGCCCTCGATGAGGAGGAGGGCCGTGAGGGTGGGATCGGGAAGGGGGGGGTGGCAGACGAGGCAGTCGGACAGCCTGACCTGCCAGGGGAGGAGGTGGTGATGACGTCGAGAGGCGTCGGTCGAGCGGGTCCCGCTCCTAGGGCGTCGCAACCTGAGTTGGAGCGCGCGAGGAGGGAGAAGAGGGCAGTGGGGGAGGCAGACGTCGAGGTGCGAGACACGGGCAGAGAGAAGAGGGCTCGGCAGACGACGATTGACGAGATGTACGACAAGGAGAAGTTGGCCGAGTTCACAGACACGTGGCTGCAGTGGATCTACGTGAAGGGTTACAGCGGGCGCCGAGATCCCTTCGCAGAGGGCGAAGGTGGCGACGATGGTGAGCGAGGTGCGCCCCGCTTTCCGGGACACCGTTGCCACCATCCTCTCCGACGGGAGGAAGTCGCGCAGCGGCAAGCCGCTCGTCAACTTCCTCGTCGGGGGCGCCAATGACGCCCTGCTATACGCCACCGTCGCACGTGGCTGGTCGGTCCGAGATACAACGGGCATCGTGTACCGTAGGTGGCGGGCCATCATCTTGTCCTTTCCTGCAAAGGACGTGATCGGCTTCTGCACAGACTCCGCCAGTAACTATACGGCGGCAGCGCGCAGATTCGCCACGGACCCCGAGCCCGATATTAGGAGGATCACTTGGCTCCCCTGCTCCACCCATGTCTGCAACTTGATGTTGTCAGATATCGGAACGCAAGTGGGGTGGGTCAAGGACACCATCATCCGCGCTCGAGCGCTTGTGCGATTTATTAAATCGCACGGCGCTGCTCACGCCCTGTTTAGAAAGGTGAGCCCTCGCGTTCAGCTCGTCGAGCCCGTCGAGACATGGTTCGCATCGGTTTTCCTGATGCTGACGTGTCTCAAAGGCCGACCAGACGCGTTGGAGAGCATGTTGCACGGGGATGCTTGGGCACGCATCCCGTGGGAGCACAGGCTTGTATCGCAGGCGCAAAGGGTGCATCAGCAGATCCGGGACGGGGAGTTTTGGCGGTGTGTCGACTACGCCATCCTTGTCATGGCGCCCGTCCACCAGCTGTTGCGCAGGATGGATAGGGGGGGGATGATGATGTCCGTCGTTTACGAGTGGAGTCAGCATGTGCTGCGATTGATGAGGAGGGTCGACGTGCCAGTGGACATGATCGAGTCGTACGTGCGTGAGGTTGCCATCCGCAACCTCCACAACGGTCATTTGGAAAAGCATAAAACTGACGGATTGGGTTCGTGACTGACATTTCCCCATCCCTTCCAGAGATACGATTGGCTCCGATCTGCTCACGAGGAGCAGGCCGCTCATTTCGCGATACGTGGCACGAAGGCAACTGTAGACCAGAATCGATGGTTCTAGTCCAATAAACGAGATGATGTCAAATACATTGTCGCTAACTGTCTGGTCTGTGCCGCTGATCGCGCCCCTATACGGGGACCAAACACGATCGTACCAACGGAAGTAGAGCATCCTTTCCAGCGAGTCAGTATGGACACGACAGATATTGACGTGCCACTTGGCCCAAACCGCTGTGAATATTCTATTTTATTAGTATTAATTGACCACTTTTCCAAGTACATCGAAGTCTATCCCTGTAAGACCCGAAAGGTCGCAGAAATAGCCACGTACATCGAACGGTTCCTCTATACCCATCTAGATACGGAAGAAATTCTAACTGACAATGGATCTGAATTTAAAGATGAGGTAGAAAAACTACTTGCACGAAGGGGCGTCACGCTCCCTCATACGGCACCCGACGTATCCCAGTCGATTGGGTTGGCCGAGAATGCCAGCCGTATGATTAAAACCGCCCTTCGCAGGAACTTAGCGGCACAAGACACGCGTCCTGAGCCCGTGATCGTATATCAGATCGTCGGCATCCACCGGGCCACCCCTCACGAGTCTACGGGGTTCACCCCCTTTCAGCTTCGAACTAATAGCCTCCCCTGCGTCGATTACCGGGGTAACTCCGAAATTGCCGAAGCATGGGGTAGAGACACGCGTGCAGCCCTCAAGGCCAAGGCCAAAAGGTACACCGATTTGATGGAACGGGCCGTTCCGAAGCTAGCCCGAAAAAGACAAAGGATGGCCGAGCTGGCCCACGGTAGACAGGTCCGTAGCTACGAGGCCCGGAACGGAAATGCTGGGCCCCAGTACCAGTATAAATTGGGGGACCTAGTGCAGGTACGTAAATGTGCACGCGACCAGAAACTCGCTCCCAAGTTCTCTGGTTGTTTTCGCGTTGTCGAACTCGGGCCCAACGGCGCCAACACGGTGCGCATGGCGCCTGAGGCTAGCGCCAGCCATAGCTCCGTCCCCCTCGTCCGACATACCTCCTACCTCCGTCTCCTTCCTCCTTCCGATCTTCCTCCCTCTTCTTCCTCGGAAAGCGAGGAAAACGACGACGATCTAACCCTCTCTCCTATTTCTCCCTCTTGTCCCTCGTCCTCCTCTCCAACCACACCATGAGTTTCATCACGGAGCGGGTTCTCGACACACAGCTGCSGCAGCCACGTGGCCACATCTCAGAGATCCGACAAGTTTGTCACCCTTGGCTCAATACGGATCTCCGCCGTTTGATGCGATTCTTCTGCAACGAAGGTATCTGTGCCGCCGCCACGTTTCGGATAGACGGAGGTTACTGCAGTTCATCGGCGAGCGGGTCCCAGAACGAGCCACGTCACCACAGTGGCGGCATTCACTAGCGACATCAGCTCGGTCAATCCGTTGCGGCATACCACGATCTTGGCCCCGATGCGCGAGTGGACAGAGCAAGTGTCCAACGTGTGGCAGCACATCCTCGCCCGGGAGGGGTATAACATCATCCCGATCTTTGCATCGGACCCTGACGGCATTCGTCGATCACCACGCGAGCGGCCAGTTGCGATCCTAACCCTCGTCCCCTTCCCCCATCCCCAATGAACCACGCCAATCTTCTCGCCCCTCTCTCTATCTTTGCTCTCCCCTCTCTCTTCCCCACCTTCTGGCAATCCGATCTCCACCCTTCTCTCTCCTTCTCGTTCGAACCTCTTTCGGTCCCTCTTATCCACCCTGGACATTGGCGGCCGTGGCCCGAGACTTTTGAGGAGTTGTCCTTTTGCCTGACCCGAGTACAAGTGAAGTGGACGGGCACGATCGAGAACCCCACGTGGATCGAGAATCCGGAGCTGCTGATCATAAAGGGTTAGAGGACTAACGCGGAAGAAGATCTTATTGGATTCCTCTTTGGATCGGTACGACCGGGTCGCCGTCAGTTGATTGCACAGGAGCTCATCGCACCAATCGTGCAATTGGCGGACGATCTCTCGCCCGACATCTACTGTCAGAGCGACAACAGTCCTGCTCCGTACATTTTCGAGCGATCCTTCGATCCGTACCTTAAGTGGACTTCGTGCTTGGAGGAACCTAGGGACGAGGATACGCTACCATGGCGGCAGGAGTATCTGAAGCCGTATGAGATCATCCCTTACGCCTTCTACCCAAGGGCAGTAGAAGTGGTGATAGACGACGACGAAGACGACGACGACGAAGAAGACGATGACGAGGAGACATCAAAGGAGGGAAGTTATAGTGAACATAGCGAGGGCGAGCTGAGTGAGGAGGAAGAGGAAGAAGAAGGAACCGGGTCCGAGTGGGACGCCCCGTCGGAGGAAGCGACGCGTACGGGAACGGAGGCGGAAGATCCGGAAGCGGCGCGAAAACGCCAAGAAATTGTCGCCGGGAAGTGCCAGCTGGAGTTCGCTAGCGAAGCTAGCCTGCGCCTCGGTAACGATCTGACCCAGGATCCCGAGCTACTGAAGCCCGAAGATGGCGACCCTGCAGCCGCCACCTCAAGTACCGCGCGGCGGAGACGGCGCCGATCCCCCCCCTCCTCCAGCCCCACCCGTCCCCCAGTTCGCCCACGTACCAATGCGGGCAATAGGCCTTCGACCTCGGACGCTGTCCCGCCGACCCCTTGATTTTCTCACCCTCGAGCAGATCCGTACCCTCGTCACCTTCCCTTCCCATCCTTTCCATCCCCAACTCTTCCGCGACTTCTACTCTACCCGTCAACTCGCCACCGTCCACCCCCACGCCTCCCTTCGGTCCGCTGCTCCCACGTTCTGCTGGCATCTCCTGCTGTTCAGCGCTGCATGGGAGTGATCCAACGTGGTAGAGGTTTACTGCGTCGCCACGGGGACAATCCCCGCTTGCCGCCACTTTGAGATCTTTCGAGCGGCGCTTTTCCGTACCCTCTCCTCCTTCTATCGCGACTACCTCGCCTCCCTCCCCCGCAGTGGCGATCATTTCTCCCGCTTCCACCGGATCATCCGATATGAGGAGCTCCCGGTGACGAGGGAAGGGATGAATCGCTTCCTACCCCCACTCCCTCCCCGTCATCCCCGCAAGATCCCCAGCATGTACCGCCTCTACTGGCCTATTCCAGCTAGGCTGTAGATCCCATTCACTTGAACCCCCCCCTTTTTTTTCTCTCCTCCCTTCATCGGCACGAATCGGTAAGCTTTGCGAAGATCACGCCATCGACGATGACGTCAATCTACGCGCCGATTCGACGGATGGCAACGAGCAGGGGTGCAAAGCGCACGGAGATCAGGTGGACCATGATGGGGTCACCTGGACGTTCTCCACGAGGCAGAGGGTTGCATATGACAGGGCTACAAAGATCTTGCTACGGATGTTGTCGCCATCTCATCCGCGACCCAGTTATCATTCCTTGTACATCTTTCTGCTCTGTTGATACGCTTGGTTTCTCATGCATCACTTTGTTCTCCCCTCTTCTTTTTCGCCATGACATGCAATCAGGAGATCGCATAATTTTGGAACCCCCTGCGCGTCACATATGTGTGACGAACCACTTCCCGACCCCGTGCCATCTTTCGTACCCTTTCTTTTGCTTGTATCATACCAACCCCAGGAAAGCCCCGTTTTGAGTTCTTGCTTTCGGGTGCCGCATTTTCCTTTTTGCGAGCTTTTTCCATTGATGAGTTCTGTTTTTTTTCTTGCAAAGTCGGGAAATACATGGGAATTTACGTGCGCCTTAGGGAGCGCACTGGGAATTGGGCCCGGTAGTTGGGAATTCCGAGATAAGCAGAACTTCGACGTATCCTTTTTGGTGTGTAAATGTTCTTGGGCGCGTCGGGGAAAACTTTCGGATTTTTGCGTGAATACGAATAGGCGTAGGATTTTCTTTTCCCGCGTCGTTTTTTCGCGCGCGGATATAATGATTTCAATTTTGAATTAGAATAGAAGCAAGCTGTAACTGTTTTGGTGCCTTATTCTTTTTTTTTTGTTGACGGCGCCATGCATGCAAAAACTTCCTCCTCTCTGTCCCCCGCATCGCTTCCTCCTGCGCCTCCCTTCTCTTCTCCCTCCTTTTTCTCTCTCCCCGTAATGGTTTTTCCTTCTCCCTCTCTCTCTCTCCCGCCTTGCTTTCGCGCGCCCATTTCCCTTTCTTGATCATCTGAATCTTGGACCCGTCTTGCGCCACCTCTCGCGCCTTTTCTCTTCTCACCCTCTAAGTCTGGCGTACGACGCCCGATCGATCCCCCGATAACTCCCGCTCGCCAATCAGGTGCGTGGATCGATAGGACCTTCCTATCGCGCGACGAATCTGATTGGTTGAACCTTGAGTTCCGAGGGATCAGTATGGCGTTCGTAGCTCAAAGTCTTCTCCTCCTGCTTCTCCTCTTACACCTCAGCTTCCCTGTCGCCTTTCCCCCCTTCTATCTCCCCTGTCGCAACTATAAAACCCGCAAGCGCGTCCGCAAAGCTCTCTTACGTTCTCGACTCCTAAGCCAGCTTCCGAGAAGCAGTGGCTAGGCAGAGTGGATTGATGCGAGTCGGAAAGTCCTGTCGGGCTGACGACAGGCTGGCCGGCTGCCTGCTTGATCGCCACGACATACTGTGGGATCTGGGCGAACCGCGTCAAGTTTACGGCAGCGGGGTGACGATCGCAATGGTGGGAGTTAGCACGCGGCGGCCGGGATCGTCAGTGCGGGTATGAGGATCGATGATCGGAGTTGAGTGAGTGATTGGTCCGGGGCCATATTGGAATTAACGGCGAATGCGCCTTTGTTGTTGCGGATCTTTATCTTTGGCGTGAGTGCATGGCGGTCATGTCAAATGTCTCTCTT